CTAAAGTTAAAGAGAGTTTTCCTTACTGAATATTCTAAGGTTCTGTACACTTAAAGAAAAGCAGACCTTTACTAAGGCATTTTATTGCAAAGTTTTAAAACATAGAGCATAGGAGGGAGGAGTGAATATGACAGAAGAATTGGATTTACCATGGTACCCTTCTACCCTTTTGTGGCAAAGACAAAAAATTTGTTAAATTAAAACAATAATGCTTGAACATCAAATGGAAGAATAAAGAGCCTAAACACCAACTGGAGATGATATCAAACACAAATAGCAAATGAGGAAAGATACAAAGCAGAGGTACCTTGACAACTGCTACATTAAGACCATCTTGAGACAAACACTGAATCTGTGAAAGGAACACAGGTAGGCAACTTCACAGAATCTTTCTTAAGTCATGGTAAAGCGTAGATAAACATGGAGTAAAACAAGTCAACCTTTAGCTACCATTTTGAATGAAACAATTATATGATCTGTTATGCTAAGAAGGACAAATTGAAGACTAATGGTGTTGCATTCATTGTAAAAGAAGAACGTTTCAAGCTCTGATGACTTAGTGGTAAGGAGTTGCACTGCCAACACAAAGGCAACTCACATTGGCTTCTTCCATCAAGCAACAAATGCTCTACCATTCCATAGTAGGTTTTGAATTATTGCCTAATTTTGGAAAGCAGATAAGCCTTTCTGGTTTATCCTAGACTTAAAAAACTGCTGAAACCTGTCCAGGACCACGGTGATGGGCAAGCTTTCACGGATAGATGAGTGGTGGCGGCATATGATACATACTGGATGGAATCAGACCTGAGTCTCCCTCGTGGAAGGGCAAGAATCTGTCCCTAAACTACCAAAGAAGAAAGAATCTGAGTTCCAGGAAACTGAACCTCACACAGATAGGAAACTCTAGAGGAAATACAGAAAACCATCCATCCACAGTATAGATGAAGAATGGTAGCTTCTGAAAAAGAATAAGGGGTGGGGGGTGGGGGGAAGGTATTTGGTGTTGTTTTGTGGAATTTGCTTAGGAAAAAAAGGTTTTTCAAATAAAAGTCTTACTTTGGAATATCTAAGAATTAGTGACAATGATAAAAACACAAAGCCAACAAAAGAGAAAATTATTAGCTCAGCACTGAAATCGTCCAGAGACGAACAGAGGAATCCTCGAGGGCAGACATAAAGGCTACTCACAGGAAAAATGCCCCGAGGTACAGGTAAACAAAAAGGCCCCAAGCGAGCCCAATAAAAAATAAGGTTATGTCAAAACAACTATGAGATATCATCTCACCCCAGGAAGAATAGCATCATTTTAAAAATATTTTTATTTATTTTTTAAAAAATTTTATTATTTTTTGTGTGTATACCATTAAATCAGATCTGACTGGTACAGGAGAGGATTGCCCCTCCTTCTCCAGAAGAGCATCTAGTGGATTCAAACCACATACTTCTGGGATTTCAGGGCAGCTTCTTTCCACTACGCCACCAGAGCTCTGTAGAATAGCAAAATTTAACAGAACAGCAAGCAACAAATGGTGGTGAGGTTGTGGAGAAACTGGAACCCTTATTCACTGTTGGTGGAAGTGTAAAATGGTGCA